GATACATTGGAAGAAAAGTTAAAGAGAAAATTACAGAAGGAAATTTACAATACCATCATCAACACTACTCTTGCATTAACCCTCAATTAACTCCACCTCTATATCCAACAAATGTTGAGAAAACCAAGATCCAAACATTTTCGTGAATTCGCCTTGGTCATACAATTGCAACACACCAATGGATCCTGAAGAAGTCTTCTCCCCCAATCTGCTGTTGTGTGCTTACTATAAAGCACATTCTCTGTGATTGCCTCAACTTTTCCTTGGTTAGAAGTATTGCATTTGGAACGATTAACCCTTTGAACATTCTACAATCAGCTTCAGAACAGAATATCAATTCAATATATTACTTTTTTAATACTACTAAGTTCACTATCTAATATCCATTTATTTAAATTAGAGCCGATAGCCTGTGTTGCTAGTGCTCAATGTCTTTTTTTTAGTCTAAGAATTCATTTCATTAGTCTAAAATTAAAATAATAATAATAATAATAATAAATGAGCGAGTCTGAAATCCACTTGTTACAATGTTTTTGCTTTAAAGATTCCACCTCAGTGGTCAATTTAATGTTACGCAGTGGGTAGTCGCATATAGCAATTTAGCTTTTGGGTTTGCATTCAGTTGTTTGGCAAAGACTCTTAAGCAATATTGGTGGTTACGGAAACGTTATAATAAACTCTTCAGCGAAATTTGCAATAAAGATGAAATTTTTGTACGTTCAACCGACGTGGATCGCACTCTAATGAGCTTCTTATGTAATCTAGCCGGTCTCTATCAGCCGGAGGCGAGCGATGTTTGGAATCCTAATGCAAATTGGCAACCAATACCAGTGCATACGATGCCTGAGTAAATGGATTTAGTAAATTTGTGGCTACAATTCTTAGACGACCAACAACCTTATCATTTCATAGGTTTTAGCAGGTAAAACTGCATGTCCCGCTTATGACCACGCTTTGTCAAATTTAAGGAACTCTGATTTATTTCAAAAACTTAATACTAGATTTGGTTATCTGTTTAATTACTTATCGAAGTATACCGGCCGTTCAATGAACTCCTTGGAAGATCTACAACGCTTTAAAAATATACTTTATATTAAAGGACTTTATAATAAAACCTTACCTGAGTGGACTAAAAAAGTTTATCGGAGACCGGCTTTGCAGTTTTTATCAGATTCTACGTTCACTATTGGCACCTATAACCTGGCGCAGCTTAAAACTGGACCCTTAATTAAAGAGGTACTACAGAGATTCACAGACTAAGTAAAGGGCAAATTAGATCCCGATAGGAAAATCTGGATGTACACTGCTCATGATACTACAATAACTAATGTTTTGAACACGTTAAAATTATTCAGCGTAAGTTGGGATGACGACTTTTGAATCCTATGTTATGATCTGTTACCGTCGACGTGGTTACAAAAACTATGTCTTATTCGCCGGTGGCTAAAATAAATATTTCGTTGTATCTATAACCAAACTCATTTAAAATAAAAATCACTGTATGAATATATCAAAGAATTAACAGGAAATATTCAAAAATATGCGAAAATCGAACACCAGGTCTCTAAAAATTTACTAAAACTAGTCAGGATGCGTTCAAGGGGAGATAAATGAGTTTCTATGTTATTATTATTGTTAGTTTTTTCCATATTAGAGTTGTTACATTTATTTTAATACTTGTCTTCTTACTTCATATTTCATATGATATTTCACATTCGTGTTATTTTCCTCTTTTCAAATAACATGATAAGACAGCTAAGCACGGCATTGCATGTGCTTATTAGTTTCGACCTGAAGAGCGAAAGACTTTATTGGGTTGTACCCATAATAAACTTTCATTGTTGTCATTGGCTGCGAGCTTATCATATTCGTTGAATGTTTACAAATATGATGTCTTGGTAACACTGTTGACGGCTTTGCTAAGCAGAGAAATATTTATAAAAATATTGTGGCAATGGAAGGTGCAAGAAGTTTCTATTATTAAAAAAAGAAAAAGGGAGCATTCCACACTGTAAATTGGCTCTAATGAAATTAATCAGTTATCTTTGCTTATTTATATATACATTTTTTTTGGTATATAAATGGTAAACGGACCAGACTTGTAAATGAAAGTCCCTTATGTCCAGTTATGAGTTTTCACGATGCCCAAACAAAAGTATACCAGTTGATTGAAAGTGACTAAACGATGAAGCAGAGATGGTTATCTCTTAGGATGGGACACAATTCCAAAGATGATGATGAAATGATGATTATCTTCCTCGAGTGGATGTTGTACAAGTTGGAATAGTCAAAATATTAATGTTCTTTCTACAGTTTCGACCAGAAGATTGATCTCAAGCTATGGCTGTAGAGAACTGGTAGATTTATAAAGTTATAAAAACTGTTAAAAATATGATTAGACCGGACAAGAGTTAGTATATAACTATGATACTTGAAAAGAGAAGTCTGTAGATTTAACGAAGGCACCTAGCTGTTTAATATGTATATTGCGAGCACGAAGAATTTTCATACAGACTGTTATAAATAGTAAAAATTCCAAAAGAAAATATAGTGTTATCGAGTGCACTGTAATTAAAAATAAAATGGTGAACTGACTCTTTTCTGTGACACACATCACCAGGTGATGTAAGGTTGCATATGGACCTATTGAGGACCTTAATCTACCATGTGGTAAAGTTGTCATCAGAGAAAAGTTTAAAGCTCATGCAAAGATGAATTTTATCTTTTCATTATATTTTGCTAAATTCCTATACTTGTGTTTCCAGTCTGGCATTACATAATTAAGAACAAGGCGAAAGACGCCTTTTTGAGGATATTTGATAGAGAAAGTTTCTCCATTTAGTCGAGCCTCAGGAGCGTAAAGGCCAGCATTTTCATTTCAATGAAAACCAAAATGACCTGTAATCCAGATTAGATTATATGCCTTAATAATAATATAGTTAACTTTTTGTGAATTTTATTATTATTATTATTATTATTGTTATAATTATTATAAATTTAGCCAGAGAATAAATTCTAAAACTAAAGTCTTAAAGCACTAGCATCTAAGGCTTTCGGCTTTATTAAAAACTCTACTGCACTTGAGATTTGAAACCACGACCATTGGGTTTCTAGTCGAGACTCTTGCCTACTCGGCCGTTCAGGCAGATTTTATGGATTTTAAATACATACAAATTGTGCGGATTTTTTTTTTTTTTTTTGATTTGGGTCAAGGCCTATCTACTGTCAGAAAAACACGCAAATTTCTTGATACCACTTATGGCAAGATGAACAGCCTGTCTGATGAGCAGAAGTTCAATGAAAGTTGATGAAGGCTCTTCCAGAATTTGAAATTTCCAAATGTTTCCAATGGCTACTTAAGCACCGCGAAACCTGCTCTTTCTAAATCAATTGATTCAAATTAAGAAATCATTATTTTGTAAAAAACGAGAAAAAAAACTATTTTTTGTGCTGATTACAGCCGCAATAGAATTAGGATCTATTGTACATATGTTTTGTACAGAGCTGCAGGCTGAGATGCTGTTGACTTCATTAATAATACGATGAAACTTTAATTAACAACTTGAGTAGCGGCTGGAAGCTTCGTCAGTTTGGTGACAATCAGCAGAAAGAAAGACGGCCTAATGATTCTAACTTCTAGAAACCTTTTGGCTGTGACAGGCAAGGCATTTTCAGTGTCAGGCTGTACACTTTTGGGAACATAGTTAGAAAATTTACAAGTGGTCGAGAATGAAAATTCCATTTTTGAGCGAATAAAGGATTTGTAAATCGTGAGTGTTTTTCTTCAGAAAAACACCGACCGAAGTCACGTCATCATATTGACTGTGTTAGTCCGAGCCTGACTGCCGTTGAGTTTCGGAGAAGTGTTTTTGGACTACTAGACTTAATGATTCTACTGAGAAACTACTCTGAGGGAAGTTTTTTGGCTGACAGGTATATCTTTGATCAAAATGTGAATCAACTTCCAGGAACAATTAGCAAAATACAGTGCCTTTGTTTTACTTAGGTTAAAGCTGCTTTTTAGATCATTACATGCATCAAAAAAGAGATTACCCTTAGTGGCATGATTTTCACCTGCTTCATTGAAAGATTTGTCAGCTGAAATCCGTAGTAAATCATTGGCATGTTGGAAGATGTATATGTCGCCATCCTGAAGTTAAGTGAACAGAACGTGATTAAGACAGCTGCCTTGCGGAAGCCGCCCAATAAATAGGCGAAAGTTAATTTTCAGTTAACTACAGCAGCAGAACGAAAAAAAAGAAAGTATTCTTATATCTTTTAATATCACTATAGGTATGTTTATTTCATAAGAAAGAATTATATTTATTTGTAGTGAGTTAGGTATACTGAAGATAATAAAAATATAGCATAGGCCGCGAAACGATAATGGCAATTTTGACCCACATCATCCACACTTAGCTGATATGCAAATTTCTCATATTAGCAGAACCGAATACAAATTTCTTACACTAACAAAATCGAATACAAAATTCTTCCACTTTAACTACTATGGGGAATTAAAAAAAAAAAAACATATTCGCTAGTCACAACAGTTGAAAGTAGAAATGTCACCTGTAGTATTTTTCTATTCTTAAATCAAACGTAGATCACATTTCAAAAGTCGCTAAGAAGCCTACTCCATCTGTTTCAAAAATTATCTTGACTCCTCTTAGTGTCGTCTCTCTTAAAGCAGTAATAAAGATTATTTGCCGTCAATTACAAAGAGAAAAGCGAAAAACAACAAAACATTGTTATTGCATGGAAAGATAGCGCTTTCTATCGGTGTGTTTGCTTTCTTACCCACAAAATATAATATTGATATAAGATTAAATAAAAAAAAAATTTTAAGGAATAGAGAATACAAAACATCGAAGCCATTGTGTGAAACTATTTTGATACGAACCGATGCAAAACAGTGCATTAGTACAGTACATACAGTATAGTACAGTACATTAAGTTTAAAAAGCTTAACGTCTGTAAGTGGTGTTAATCTGTGTTTTGGCGGCGGAAATATGATTATATGTAAAATGAGTATCAGTATCAGTGAGTGATCAGCTTTGTTTGTCGCGCAGAAGAAAATACAATCTCTAAAATACAATTTTTAAAAATGTTTAAATTATTAACTACCTTATAAGGAACCTTAAATTTTGTTGATTTATTATGTAAAGGATTAACTTGTTATATAGTGGGACTTTTCCTTGCGGCTCTAACGCTTGTAAGTTTATTTCTAATAATCTATCTACTATAATCTCAGTTGCCGGCTTCGGTTGCGGAGACGTCGGCGGTGTGCTCACTTTTATTATTATCATATTTATCATATTTATCATTTATCATATTTATCCGTCCCTTTTTTTTTTTTTTATTTTAGGATCCTTTATCTTTTATCCGAAATCTTAACAAGATAAAGTCTTTAAAATTAATACGTAGTCTAAGTTGAAGTGAATCTAAATTACCGCGGAATTATGTATATGCAATAAATAAATGAATATGAAATAAATATCCCCTAGGAATCGAGCACATTTTCCGCGCGTTTGAGTTATTCAGCATATATGTTCAGAATCGTGTGTAATATTATATTACACTATGAACTAACCCAACAGAAATGTTTATGACGTATTCAAAGTTCAGTTCCTCAGTTTCTTTCCCTACTTTTTATTGGGATAAGGGTGGTGAGCTTAAAGAAGTCGTTTATAGCGAAATATAAATTTTTTACTTGTAATAACCTACGTACGTAGGTCCCTTTAGAACACATTATTTTGAAAATTGCAATTTTCAAAGGATTTCGAGCAAACTCGCTCTGTTTCATCTTTCTAAATTGATATGAAAAAATTGGTTCGGCTGCGACAATTATTTTTGAACTCTTTCTCATATAACCATTCTTACAAAAACTGAAATTGATAAGATAACAAGGTACAATTTTTAACAGTTCATGGTGAATCTTGGTCCATAATAGCAAAGTAACAGAGAAATTTTTTGAATACCATCGCTTATAAGAATTCTCAGGATATGTAGGCTCTTATATGGGTAAAGGGTCCAATTATTAATATTTTATAAGAATAAATTTATTCACGATAATTTGACATAAAAATTAAATGGGCGACATGGGTCTATAAACGAAGCTATATAGGGTGTCTTATTGTCGGCCTTGTCCTGTTTTTTATAAAGCATAGATTTTTTTCTTGCAAAATAGAGGACGTGCACATTGTTAAATTGATCAATTCAAGTGATGCGATAAAAAGTTAATAACATTTTTCAAAATTTCACTTTAAATGCTTTTTTTGGAAAAAAACAAAATTGTTTGAGCATATTATTTAATGAAACTCAACCCTAGTATTTCTCTCATATCACTTCGTTCATCTCTTCTTTACAGGAAAGATTTATTCAAGTTTTACATTTTTTTGATTTAACTCTAACTCTAACGATTTTTTTTTCGAATTCGTAAGACAACTTTAATTAGCATTAAAAGTTTTGCTGCCACATTTTCAGTTTATTTAAAGTTTTGGTTACATAACAGAATAATGATACCGAGAATTATGAATTTTAAATAATATTTTAGCTTACAACTGCGAAAAAATCGTTGAATAATCTACGAATAGCAAGAGTCAGCTTAGACGAGTTGTTAATTAAGATGTTGGTTTGCTGTTGCTTTTGTATATAAATTACCGAAAATTAATTTTACCAACTTTTGCGTATGGTTACTATAAATACATAGGGCAGAAATAATTCAAAATTATATTATTTTAGCTTACAGTAAAGCTAATTACGTCTATTGTATTGGATTTTGAGCATTGTGCTAATGCCACTGTGGTAAGAATATTGTTCTTTTAGACCATTTAAACTGATTGAAGGGAAGCCGTTAATTTATACCACAAATTTTTACTACATGGAGTTTCTTTTACTTTATGCGGTTTCTATTAAGGACTCATTGTTAATACTTGGGTATGTTTGTATTAATGTGCAGTAGAAGGAGAAAATCTTTTTTCTCCTTTTTGCAGTTAATTGCTTTGTTTTACCTTTTGTATTTCAAGGTAATTTAGGTTATGCTTGTTCATTTATTTTGACATTTAACCGCAATATCGAACAAATCTACTTGAAGGTTGTCTGTTCTTGTTTCCTTTTGGTGTAGGTTGCTTGTTCTTCTTCTTTTTTGGTGTAGGTTGCTTGTTCTTGAAGTTATATCAACGTGTATTTAAATATTGTTTAAAACTTATATCATAACGAAACATGCATTACAATGCATCGTACATCGAGTGGAGCTTTGCTGTCTTGCAATTGTATGCCGTAAGTCCAACGTAATGCAACACGCCAAATAAAACATTTCCAGCGATATTAAACAAGCATTATAACGATCGATGAAGGTTACTGGAATGTTAACAATAAATCGAGTTAACAGTTCGTACAATGCAACAAAAGTGTAGTTTGCCAATGTCTAGATTTATAGCGGTGCGGTCAGATGAAACGAACTTTCTCTACAAAATAAATGTATTCCTAATGAAGCTTGCGTCTTCACACATGTCTCAATTCTCTTATTAAGTTAAAATCAGATTTGAGTGTAAAACTTCTTCGTTAGATTTGAACAATAATGTTCCGCTTCTTAGTACATTTACAATAGAAAACGAAAAGTGGAACTACTTGACTTTGACTCTATTTAAATAATTTGCGAAAATTCCGCCAACTGCGCTAATTTATAAATTGATAAACCGATAGACGTCAAAATTCTGCCAGTCATTAACCTGAAGCCCGCGTAGTTAATTTATAAATAATATAAATTACCCATTCATTTATTGAAACGATAAGTATAGGTCAAGCGAAATCAACTCTGAATGTTAAGTTGGTCAAGAATTTTCGTACACTTTATTAGTGCTCCGATCCGAAAGCACAAATCTTATCGTAGTCGTATGGCCACTTTCCAATTGTCATCACGATAATTCAATTGAGTCTGTACGAACACAATTACCACTATTTGCGCTACTGCTTATATCGTTGCCTTTACTTAAGAAACGTAGATTTTGTCTTAGGCAATGAGTACTGACATATTTAATATTTTAGTTTTTTATATTCTTACTTAGTTGCTGCTGTTTTTTGCTGCTGCAAAGTTAAATAGGACACTGAATGCGTTTATTGCTCTTGCCGTATTTGAACCAGCTGTGCAGTGCGTGCGAATTTGAACGTTTTTTTTCTATGCGATTACGTCGGCAAAGAAAATCACACTAATGAAAAAAGATCAACAATAGTAATAACAGTTAGTATACAATTTGTGTGAGTATGGTGTGTTTGATTTTTCTGATTTGTTTATCTGCCGCCAAGAAGCATGTTATTGTAAACACAATTGTTTTACTCTCAGTTGAAGTCAGCGTAGTTGCGGTGGAGATGAGTATCGCAACTCTAAGCGTCATAGTTCGTATATAAGCATTTTGCTACTCACGTCCAGAAGGGGAATGCCTTTTTTATTACTTTACGTCGTGTCAGACCAGCTTAAATTTGAGGCATTTGAATATAAATGGTACGTTCAATGAAATTCATGTAATTTAAAATCTCCACCCTAAGAGGCTACAATCTTAGGTTTTTTCCCATTTAACATCTTCGTTGATAAGAGACGTTGTTTTCTGTTTCAGCCCGACTATTAATTGCAATAACAGTTTTGATTTTGGTTTGATGAACAAAGTTCATAGTTTGAAGAATAATCCTGGCTGCAGTTGTGAGAGTATGTGACAAGGTAGAACTTCTCCTGAATAATCCACCAAAACACAGGCAGGTGGCAGACCGCCGGATTAGGAAGCGTCCGTATATAGGAGATGCCAACCGTCACTTTCTTTTATTCAGGGTTTTCTTCGATTAGAGTCTTGAAGACGTAACTTGCAATATCCCTCCTTTTCGTAAGTAAAGTAAAGAAACTATAAATAAATAACATATGCTAGTATTATTGTAGTTTAAATTTATATGAAACAGCAAATTGTAACAAAGAGAGTCCCGCTTGGAATTATTCGGTATCGCAATTTTATATGAAAAAGTAAACTAAAAATTAACTTTGATCCATGCAGCATTCTCAAATATATGCATTTTTTGACATATTTGTCCGTTCGTTTAAACATTTGCGATTCAAATTCTCGAAATCATAAAATATGCCAAGACAACTAGTCCAGATTCTGAGTTTGCTCAGTCCTTTTTCGTCCTTCGCCTCTCCTTGTGTCTTCTTCGTCCGTTAAAATTCTGAAAGTAATCAAATGTGCTCTTCTATCATGTTCGCAAATCGTGATGAGCCAGCCCGTAAGGGTACTAAGCTTTCAAAAATATTTAAATTCAAAAATATTGCACTCAACACCTTTTAATTGAGCACCAGTGAAATGGATTTTAATGTTCAGCAAGTATTTTAATCAAAATAAAATAATTATTTGTTTCAATATATTATCAGATACCTGACACATCTACTTGCCCAAGGTAATCCGATATCCAATATTTGAGCCAAGGTACTCCTTGTTGTTTATTGAATCGAAATTAAATGTTTTTATTTTTAAATATTGTAAAAAAATACTCGCGCATGTTCAATGAAATTATCATCATGTCATATATATAGTTAGGAGGCAAAAAAACAAAGTGAATAAATTATACAGGTGTTTACAAGTGTTTCTCCTTTCAAACTGAACTACCACGTTTTATTTCATTATACAAGTGTCTCTCCTTTCAAACTAAACTACCACGCTTTATTTTTATACATTATACAAGTGTTTATCTCTTTCACTTGATTTTCTCCTTTCGAACTGAACTGAGTTGCTAGTCGAGACAGACGCGGTCCTAGGACCGCTAGAAACTCCAATAAACCATTCAAAAATGGCCATTTTCACATTTTTCCTAGAATGTGAGCAAGATTTAAGAAATGTTTATTGTATACAAAATGTTTTCTCCATTTTAAAAAATAAAACAATTAAAAAAAAAGAAGAGGAAGGGAAAAAGAATAGAAGAAGGATGGGGAAAAGGAGAAAGACGAAGAGGGGAGGGAAAGAGGAAAGGATCACGGGAGGGTAGGGAGAATATGGGGAGAGGGAACCTAAAATTGATTGTAAGCTGTAGAAGCGAGCAAGCTCAGACCACTCTAAGGCGACCCCTTCGACTTACGCCACAAGACAGCGAAAAGATAATCTTGATCTTATGGTAAAAATGTATTTTTTCTTCTAAAAACGTTATAATATAGAACATGTATAAAGAACAGACATAAAATTGCCATACAGAATTTTTGAGAATCAACACCAACACGATCAGAAAATTTCTTGCCTTTTCTGTAAATATTTAACACTAAACGTACTGACATTTCATCCTACCATGAGCGGTCAAATGACCGCTTCAAAAAAACGTATGTATCTTAGCGAAGTAGTTAGTAAACAACATATTTTTCTGATGCTATAATAAAAACTCGTTCCCCGCTTTTCGATGTATGTATATTTTACGAAAAGTCAATAAGCTACATGATGATACAATAACGTTGAATGCGAGAAATTTTAAACAAAATTTTAAAAACGGTTATTTAACCGCGCATGGTACGTTTAGTGTTTAGTTGTGCTTGCGGCCGGGATTCATGCATACATGTGTATAAAATAGTTTGCATTGTCGGGGATAATTATGGTCTGAGATATTTTTAGTCGGGGATATTTTTCATGGTGGAGGATTTGCATTTATTGAAAGCAAGTCGGTGATTTCTGTGTTCTCCATTCTCCATTCCATTCTCAACAAAGGAGAATTCTTATTAAGAAACGATATAAACGGAAAAACCAGATGAAGTACACAAAGAAGTTGTAAGAAGCGAGTAATTGCGAAAAAAATTTTAAAAAGAGGAAAAAAAAAGGTTAAAAATTTTAAAAAGAAATTTGTTAAACATTTACATAAAGGTGAAATAAGAATGATCCCAAAAAATTTTAAAATAATAAATTTTCTTTTAAATAATTCTAACAAACTTATAAAATTATATATATTGACGGTAAGTGCATTTATTTCCCTTATTTAAAATATATCTCATGTATTGAGAATAATTTCGTAATTAAAAAATAAAAGAAGAAAAGATTCATCGGGAACAGATATTGATTGTACGTGCCAAGATATTTTGAAGAAAAAACTTTGAATACGATTTTTAAAATATGAAATAAAACATGAAATATCCAATGAATAATTTTGTTGCTAACGAATCACAGGATTAAAAAAAGTCTCTTTTTTTTTTTTTTTTTTTTGTTTAGAGATGGATTGGACCAGTTAAGTTAATGTTAGATCCATAATCCAGAAACGAAGTTGAGAGCGATTGATGAAAAAATCCAAGCATAGGTAGACTGATGTGGCAGAGTGTGCGCAATGAGAGGCTCTGTTCCGCTGTCAATCCATAAATCACCGTACTTGGTACTGTACTGTCAAGATCCGGCTAATAATGCCGATAAAAGAAAAAGTGTAGGCGATTCGTGATTGTAATAGAAATTATAAATGCCAAATTAGAACGAAAAATCAGCTGATTTGATAAAGGCAGTCAGTTGCTTCAAATGCCTAAAGTTACCAGCATGAAAAATTTCATATGAATTGTTATACAGGCTAAATATACTGAAAGCTTGTCTAAGGATGTCAAACCTCCTGCACTCAAAAATAAGGTGCTCGGCAGACTCAGTGATATTGCAATCCTCACAGATGTCAGAGGAGGAGACTTTGATCATTTTAAAATAGACCTTGTCGTAGGTGTGATTACTCATAAGACGGTGAAGAACTTTAAATTCCCATGTCGTGAATTTTCCTTTAGGTAGAAGCGTGGGTGCAAAAAAGGGTAAATTTTGTAGAACAGCCGGTCACTTTTTTCTCTAGCTAAAACATGATACTCATCTTTCCATTCTTTTATGATGAGTTTTTTGACTAGCAGAAAAGCTTCGCTGGGGGGGTAGTTTATGGACAAAACTGTACCATCGAACCTAGCTTGACGAGCATGGAAGTCAGCTTTTTCATTGATACTAAAACCGCAGTGACCTGGGATCCAGATGATGTGGCCTTTTTCAATACTTGGGTCTTTTAAAAGGTTATAGATTTCGAAGACATACTTATTGAATGGGTCTTTGTTCTTGATTAAAATTAGAGCAGATTTGCTGTCAGAGAAAACTACAAATTTTTTCAGCTTAATTTCAGATGCATGGATGATTGCTTGTCTGATGGCCAGAAGTTCAATGAAAGTGGATGATAGTTCTTGTAGAACTTTGAATTTTCCTATAGGTAAGTTTGGGTATTCAATAATTGAAAAACTAGAGATGTCCGAATTGATAGATCCATCCGTTGCGTATATTTTGAAGTTATTTTCGACGAAGTGGTTAAGTTTTTGCAGACAAGCGATTCGAAGACAAGACCCTGATCGATTTTTTTTTGAGTTGGTGATTGAATTAAGTAAGTTTAATTCAACTACGCATTTATCATGAATAATATTATTCCAGGAGGATATTGAGTTAACTTTATTGAAGATGTTACTGAATTTTTTGAAGCAGTTAGAGTAACTACTGATGACATGATTGTGTCTGGAAGCGACCTCGTCAAAGAAGGCAGCTTAGAAGATTTTTACCTTGAGAAGTTCTTTTGCAGTTACAAGATAAATTCTCTTAGCAACGGGGAGTTCATAAGAGATGGAACGTAAAATTGATGTTAGTGTTGAGGGGGACAAACCGGTACAACGTCTTAGGATTGAGTTTTGAAAGGTTTGTACTTTTTTTAATGTATACGCAGGAGCGTTACACGATGTAGAGTAGGGATATTCAATTTTGGATCTAACAATAGATTTGTAAACGTTTAATGCTTTCCTAGGTGGAAGTCCGGTGTGAATGTTGGTCAGAAGTTTGATGACATTTGAGCCTGTGTTGCAATTTTCGAGGCTATCCTTGTAATGCTCATGCGTGGCTAAACTTGAGTTGATTATTCTGCCCAAAAATTTAAAAGAGGAAGACGGACTGATTTTTATACCATTGATTGTAATGTAAAAAATTTTTTTGGGACCCTCAGCAAAGCGAATGACTTTTGATTTTTCCGGGTTGAAAGTTAGATTTAAGTCTGCACAAAGTTTGTGAAAAAGATTGGCTTTAGTGTCGAGGTTACGGACTGCTTCCATTAATGATTTTCCAGCAGAGATGATGAGGAAATCGTCAGCATATTGAAATAAATGGGTAGAATTGTCCTGTAGTTGATGTAAACCGGCTGTGTATAAATTGAAGAGAACTGGGCTGAGACAGCTACCTTGAGGTAAGCCTCCACAAACTTCGACTGTATGTGAATCTAATACGAGAGTTCTCGAGGAAAGAAAGTTGAGAACCCAATGCCTACTTTGTGTCGGGATTTTAAAATCAGATAGAATTTGGTCCAGTTTCGCTAAGTTTACACAGTCGTAAGCTTTATTTATGTCTAAGCAAAGCATGACTACCTGGTTTCCATTTGCTTTTTCATTTGCAATTGTGAAAAGGACTTCATTAAGGCACATACCGGTGGAGATATTTTTTTGATAAGCAAAGGACCTTGACGGGAGAAGGTGTGAGTGATTCACGAAATTTGTTAGTCTTTCTTTAATCATTTGGTTGGTAATTTTTAGAAGAACAGGCAAGAGGGATATGGGTCTGAAGTTAGTGAATATTTCAAGATCTTTTCCGGGTTTAGGAATGGGCACTGTTTTAATTGTACGCCAAACAGTGGGAAACGAGTTGGTCATCCTTCGCTCATTTATAGCAGATAGCAGGGTTAGAAAGCTTGGCATGGGAAGGACCTTTATCATTTCATATTTGATTCCGTCATAGCCTGCTGCTGTGGACTTCTTTTTCAACTTAAGGACGTGCATGAGTTCATCAAGGGAGAATGGAGAGATGTTTTCCATCCGAGAGTTAAGTAAGGAGGTTTGGAGACCACATGTCGAGGGAACTTCAGCTTTCAGCCATTCAACGTAGGATTTGTTGTTGAGATCATCCCAAATGGGGTGTTTGTATTTCTTTTTTGTGGTGCGATGACCATTTAAAAATATCCAGAATGGCTTGGTATTGCTCTTTGAGCATAGCTCTTCGATAACGAGGGCTCGGTGGCATCTTTTGGCTTTTCTAATCGATTTCTTCCATTCTTTTTGTGATAACTTGAAATCTTCAAAATTAGAAATATTGGGGTATTTGGAAAATTTTTGTTTAGCAGCCTGTAATCTACGGAATTGTGAAGTGAGTAGCTCGTTCCACCAAGGTTTTGGTGAGTAGGAATTCGAGATTTGGATGTCGGATTTGGCGTTAATTATTTCTTGTTGAAATGAGCACTGGATAGACTCGACCTGTGGCTCAAGACATACGTGAATAAGATTATTTAGGAGTTTTTTCCTCGAGATAAAGTCATTTATCTTGTACGAGGTAATAGAGGTGGCATTAAAGAGAATAAGAAGGTGGTGGCTGTTTCCCAGGAAAATTTCTTTTTTAACCTCCCGTTTGAATATGAGATGGGTTGCGTTAGTGAAAGTAAGATCCAACACGCTACCACAATTGTTGGTCGTAGAGTGAAAATAGGTTGGTGAATTATCATTCAGACAATAGAAGTTACTAGTTTTAATGATTTCTTGCAAGGCTTTGCCTTTATTGTTTGACACGGAGTCACCAAAGCAAGGGTGTCTTGCATTGAAATCTCCTGCAATTATGACATTGTGGAAACTATTGAGCATATCACAGAGACGATTAAAGTCATCCCGGAAAGATTGAATGGGGATGTTGGGCTTGAAATAGCAAGGAGCAATGACGATATTAGGTTTTAGACAAGAGGTTTTGATAATGACAATGTCAGCAGTCGATTTAAATGGGATTTGTTTGAAGGATATGCCTTTTCTGGCAAGGATGGCAACACCTCCATAGCCGTCACTCCTACATTTATAAGCGGAGTTGTAATTTGAGATTTTGAGATCGGAAATTTTTTCATCGGACAGAAAGATTTCACTCAAGATGTCAGTTCGGTTGGAATTTATGAAAAAATCAAGAGAATGGGCATTACGCCTGAAGCTTTGTATGTTATACTGTAGGAAGGACGTCATGAGAAATGTTAGAACATGATAGGGCCGACCCAGATGTACCTTGTTTTAAAAGATCAAATTTTGATTTAAGAGAACTTATTTCTGTTTGGATGGTTTTAAGCATATCTTCTTGAGAAGAGATGGAGAGAATCCTGAAAATCTTTTCCAGAATTATCTCCATATCAGTGGATTTATGGTAATTGATGAAAGTATGCTTTTCAGGAGGTGGGGTAGGTTTTTTTGGCTCCTGCGACTTGTTACTGTAAGTCGAGGGCGTCTTGAGAGACATTCTACGCAAGGACTTGGGAATACTTGTTTTATTTTTTAAAACTGCATTGAAGTTTTTGTTAATTAAAATATTATTTGTATCAATAGTAGGGTCTCTGATATTGTTAGGAGCATTGCTGTCCTTCATTGCTGGGAAGTTTACGTCATAGTTTTCAAGTAAATTGTATGGGTTGTTAGAGAATTTCTCTTTTTTTTCTCTCTAAAAGATAAGTTCTGGATGGTTAAAATTTTTTTTAAATTTTCCTCTTTTTTTCTTTTTGGACACTCTCGAAATGTTACGTTGTGGTCCAGAGACCCGCAACCTAGACATTTGATTGAGAGGCATGAGTCCGTACGACAGGCCGGTGACTTGCCACAGTTCAGGCATCTGCTTTCCTTACTTTTGCAGAATTTGGCGATGTGACCAAATCGGCCGCAATTATAGCAGAGCCTGACGGAAGGAATGAAGTAGTCAACTGGAATATTGCAATATTTGAATTTTATACTCTTGGGAATTAGTTTGCCCTTGAAACCAATCTTTAGGCTGTTTGTTGGGATGAACATTTCTCTGTCTGCAGGGTCTCTTCTGAGGATTCTTGTAACAGAAATGATTTCAATATCAGAGGTAGCTGAGTTGAGGAAGTCCTCTTCCTTAATTGAAGGTGGAATGTTTTTTACGATCCCAAATTTTTCTGTGAAAATTCTAGGGATGTAGGCCTTGCAAGACTTTGGACCAAAATCATTGTTTATTATAAAGTTGTTGGCATCAACCGCAGTGGCAAAACCAAGTTTGGCTTTGCCATTGCTGATGGTTTTGATATTAATCAAACCATCCAATTTGAGATCTTTGATGTGTTCGAAAAAAAATAAATCTGAGTTAAGGCGAAAAGGTTTCTCTAGGTAATTGTTACATACTTCAATGAACACGTAGCACTCACCGATCGTGTCATCACTATAACGATTTGGACTAGTTGGGTCAGAGTTCTTTCCTTTTAAGGGACTACGATTATTGTTACTGTTCACAGAGCTGTCTTTATTGGGAGGCTTATTCTTAGAGGGAGCGATCGGGGACTTTAAGGAGGTGGTATTGACATCCTCAGTCAAGTCTTTTACGGATGAATTATTCTTATCAGAGATGATCTTTTTGAGACCTTCGTTCTGGTTTGTGTTTTTTCTTTTAAATGTACCCTTGCTATGCGTGATTCGAACAAAATTTTCGAAATCATCATCGTTTGATAACATGCTTGAGAGCCTCACCCCCTTGAGGGGCGGGCGACTTTTAGGTTTCATGCTAGATTAAAGGCAAGAGAAAAGGATCAACTGACTTACCGAGAAAAGAAGGGATATGGAAATCAGCCGTTTTTGGTGGAACCGACAGAGACAGAGAAGAACAAAGCCTTGTAAGTTAAAGCAGTATTAAGAATTTGACAGAAATCGCCGCTACTTGATGTCCAATGTACAGGTGAGTTGACGAAGTGAGTCTTGTCAGGATGAGGTTGAAGACAGCAGGTGGTGCTGCGCAATCTGCGGAGATGCACAAGGACGTCGAAGCCTTTGTTGATTTTGTTTAAATGCCGCAACTTCACTATATGTATTTTCACTACTTCAAGAGTTTTCAGAAACAAAAGTTTGTGAAAGAAAAAAGAGAATTTTTTCTTTTTTGGTGAAAAAAAAATTTATTTTTCAAGAATTTTCTGCAAGAAAGCGTCTTGTTTCATGCAGAGCTGCCGAGCCAATGTAAAAAAAAAAAAGTCTCTCACTGCCTTCCACCTTTTTAACGTTACACTGACTGTTCCCGTGTTGAAAGATACTTTTGTATAAAATGCATCTAATTTCAAATTAATGTGATATTCCACACGAATTAGTCAACAAAGTCTTTTGTTTCCTTAAGTGAACTTAATTTTAGTATGATCTCTCCATGTTAATCCGTTCTCAATATATAAGCCCAGATATTTTAGGCAGTAGACGGTATTGCGACACACAAAAAAATGTCATCGCAAGAACTGTTATCTACCGTGAGCGTAATACGTGAAAATTTGTTTCCATTTATTTTAACATTCCGTTTATTCACGCAAAGCAACACTTTTTTGAGAAACATTTATTTGATCCAAATTCTATTACTACAATTTTTGAATTTTTGATTAATTTTGCGCAATTAAGTAATTAAACTTAATTAGACTTAATGTCAATGGAAACCAGCTGATAATGCAAATGCTCTAACTGAATAATCGTCAAATTCTCATTTAACAACAATACTGCGAAAATTCCTCTTTAACAGATTTGCTGCGAAAATTTCTACCATTTTTTATATAACAATAACATCTAACGGCTTTTAGCGAATTTTGTGTAGTATTAATTAAATTGTTGCAGAAAAAGAGGTATTTAGACGTGAGTATATTCAAAGGGATCATATGTTATATATCAATATTAGATGCAAAAAAATATATTAAGATGTATTTCAAAATTTATTCATTTATTTTTATTCTATTTTAGTTTACAAAAAGAAGGACATTGACCACCATATCAACATTGTTTATTAAACGCAGTACAAGTTTGTTTCCACGCCTTCGCGCCTCCTCACAATGAATGAATATTCGCTATATACTGAAGGTAAGTTTGCTTTTATCTTTATGTAGATACGTGCTGTACGATAAAAATAATATAAACATTTATAGGGGCTGATTTTAGTTTTTCGTGGCGATTGCATTAGCATTTATCTGAAGTTCTTCTGGGTCTTACACATACTTTAGCATAAACTTATTACATACTGTGCTACCTATTGTGTCAGACTCTTTAACTATAACTTTATTTATTATTTTATTGTTGATTTATCCTAAGTTATGCTGTCTAACCCTTAAACTTTACGCGGTGAGCGAAAATATGCAAGTAGCAACACTGTACGCTAAAAGTTGAAACAGAGATGTTAAAGTATGCAATGTAATCCAATAAAAACGACGCTTGATTTCTATAAAAATATGTAGAAAGAACCATAAATATTATATAGTAGAAAATGCTTTTCAACTCTTCAAAATTCACACAAATATAAATAAATTTAAAAAAAAAAATTATAATTGGCTCATCACAGACGTAACTGCACAATGCAAATACCCGACAATGAAAAATTTCCCTATGCTCACTCTATAAACATGTGTGAAAATCTATGTAAGCAAAACAAATCCCTGTAGGTTTTGATAAAACTTGTTGTGTAACCGTACATTACGTATGTATATGTTGGTAAACATATGTGAAACACAGATTTCATGACATGTGTTTTCGAAGTAATTAAAATAAAATCGATTAAGTGGATCGGCTTGATTATTTATTATATTTCATTTCCTCTTAAGCTAAGAAAAAGTTTCGTGAATGAATAATTGCAAATTTTTAAAGTTCCAAAGTAAATCCTCTAATCTTATTTACTTTTGTTTAGTTTATTTCACACGCAAAAATACGCTACACAATATCATTACGTATATCCAAGGGCTGATCACATAGAATCCCAGTATCTTTGTCTACCATATATATTTCATTGAGGATCAGGATTATGTGGGCCTAACGTAGACACTAAAACTAAAGTACCTTCAGCCAGTTCGGTTAGAATTTTTTGTATATTCTGTTCATTAGCCGGTTTCTGTATTTGATAGCTTAGCAAAAGTCTCTCATCACCATCGTTTGTTGAATCCACTACACAAGTAATTTGGCCGTCATCCATATTAGTTCCGTTAACTCATGGTAGTTATTAACACTTGTTGGATCCGTTGTTTGAAAATCTTCAACGGAACTTATAAGGGTAGCTTTTACTGGTGGCGCAGATTCAAGGGGGCTAACCTGTTGCGTTTGTTAATTGGTACGATTCAGTTTGTAAAAATATTTAATTCCGTTTCCTACTGTTTTATGTCTTCATCTTGGGCACTGAAACTTAAATTTCAAGACTCCTGCTTGCCTTCATATTTTGACTATTAATGATTTTAATAATTTTTTGTGTGCTTGTATTATCTTGTTTTTTACCACTCTCTTCAATAACTTCATCTAACTTTATGTTTATCTTCATCGATAAGCTTGATTTTACGATTTTTTGTCCGTTTGATATTTTAATTTTCATAAACATCGAATTCGCTTAGTAAACGATTGGCAGCGCTTTGTTGGACGCATTTTTTCTAAAGATAAAACAAGAATAAATATATATACTCATTAACTTATTAGCAAATAAATAAAATATGTAAGTAAATAAGATCCGCCTGAGTAGCGATGGACAAGTGTTGCGTGCTGATGCAGAATTGAAACAAAAAATTACGGAAAATGCCCGAAATTAAATAAGTATTAGAGTGAAATTGTTTATGAATAAAAATTTAATTCGGATTTAACTAAACTGGATTATGACCACAAGTTAACGAATACAAATCAAAAAGCTCTCTATTAATTCTCTGTTCGTACAACGAATTCTCTGGTCGTACAACAAACTTTTCTGGTCGTAC